GAAATCTGGCTAACATACTTTATTCTTCATTTTGATATCTGGGTTTAAGTGTTTTGAAATGAATGAATAACAAACTTTTTTTTTTAAGAATCTTTAACTTCAACCTACTGGCACTAATAGACTGTCAAAGAAATTGTAAATAATATTCTATTTTAAACCATAATTCTCTATATAATTGCCATTACTGTAGCCTGGAATAAGTACTTAATTTATATTCTTCAGTGTCTCCTAAATTTAAATTGCATTGCATCATTTTATTATGTATCTGATTTTAATCCTGGAGCATAATTTTAGAATGATACTATGCTTCCTAAAGAGTTTTTAGATTGGTTCATGATGGGATTATGGAAGCTGTGTGGTTTAGTAGAATGAATGGAAGCTTTTGAAGTCAGACAGATGCAATCTTGTTTCATTAATTTACCAGTTATTAGCCTTGAGCAAACCCAATAACCCCTTTGAGCCTCTGTCTCTTTATATGGAAAATGGGAACAAAAAAAATTCACCTTCCAGGTACTAAGAGGTTTAGAGATAATCCATGTAAAACAAGAGACAGTAGCTGGTGCTCAAGGAATGATGTTGATAATGATTAATAGCAAATCAGCTCTGCTAGTGTAGATGAAGTTTTTATTCATTTTGAAGGGTTGTATGAAAGTGTCACCTTGAGGTGACAGGAAGGACATCAAAGAGAAGAACATGGCAAATGGTTTGAATGTTTCCGATAACTTTGAGTACAAAAGCCCACAATAGTGACTGTTCATGAGCTACCAAATAGATAAGAATCAAGCTAAATATGTTGAAAATACTATTTAAATTAGGGCATTCAGAGGCATGAAATATCATTGCAACAAATATCATTGCAAATATCTTTGCAAAAATTAATGTAAGGTTTTTCCATTCAGGTGCAAAAAAGATTGTTTACTCAATATACTTAACAAAATTGCATGTGCTTATATAAGTAAGATATAAATAATGTTAAGGAATGCACTAATTTTATGATGAGCAAATTTCTCATTTATTTTATTTTTTGGATTTTGAATTTTATACATGGGAAATGATATTAACTGTTTTCAGGTGACTTTTGCTGAAGGGAAATCTTTAAAATAAAAATTGGGGGAGGGGTGTAAATTTTCAAAGTAAAATGTGTACTTGGAGAAAATCTGGAAAATTTCAAAAGCCAAAAGAGAAAAAAATCCCATAATCTGACCACCAGTGGGGTTTGAGAATTTCTATAAAGTAGTTTTGGCAAAACAGTTTGGTGGAAGGGGGACTATAATACTTGTCTTGAAGCTGCCTTTCTTTGCTGGTTTAACAGGAAAGGTTTGTGGATGCTGATGGAGATTATGAGAGGGCTAAAGATCCTGAAACACTCCTTGGTGTGGATTTCCACTTCCCAGGAGAAATGAACGCTTAAAAGTCATAAGACTCTAATTTCTGATGTTTATTATGCTTCTGCCCCTCATCATGTTGTACAGAGTAGAGCTGAATTGTGTCCTGTTTTGGGCAAACTGAAAAAAGAGACCTAAGCTTTCTTTTATAAACAAATGTTTATGGAGGATTAGATTAATAACACAATAGTTCTTAGCTTTTTAAATCCCTATAGTTAACTCTAGGGATTTTTTACTTATATAACTTAATGTAGTTAATCCTGGGACCCAATATTAGAGTTTTCTTTCCTCTTATGCACACTGCTGATCCTGTAGAAAAACATCACTTTCCTTTTTTGGCTGGCGTTGACGTATGTAGCCATTCTTCACCACAGTCATATTACTCACTTGGAATCAAAGGTGTGGTAGCTTATTCTATTGAGAATTCTAATCCTCTGGGTCTGGATTTTACAATGGCTTTTGCATCGTTCATCTAGGTGTGCTGTTTGGAGTCCTGTGTATTGGAATGGCTGCGCTAGCGTCACTAATGGGATCTTTGTTGCAGGTAAAAGCTAATCCTTGAAGGTTTGAGTCATAATCACTAAATAATTCTTCTTTTTGTCCTTCTCCTTCTTCTTTTTTAATGTTAATGTGACCATCCTTCCAGACTTCTCTCTCTCTATATCTACACATAGACATACCAAGAGACAGAGATGACTGAATTCTTTTTAAATTTTTAAAGGATATAGTGGGGAGGATAATAACTCAGTGGTAGAGTTCATGCTTAGCATGCATAAGGTCCTGAGTTCAATCCCCAGTAAGAAAAAAATAAATAAATAATAAAAATAAAAAATTTTAAATTAAACTTTATATTTTGAGGTAACTGTAGATTTGTATGGAATAATAAGAAATAATACAGAGGGATCCCATATTCCCTTTACCCAGTTCCCCTCAATGGTGTGAGGCTTAGGTTGATGTTCTTTTCCCCCCTTTTCCCTGTGAATACCTGTTGCTCCAGCACTACTTGTAGAGGCTACCTTTCTTCCACTGAACTGCCATTGCCTTTGAACCTGTGAGAAAAATCATTTGGGCATATTTGTGTGGGTCTATTTGTGGTTTCTCTGTTCTAGTCCATTGATCTACGTGTCTATCCATCTGTCAAGGTCACACAGTGTTGATTACTATAGCTTTATAATAAATCTTGAATTCAGGTACACTGAATCCTTCCACTTTATTCTTATTTTTCAAAACTGTTTTAGCCATTCTAGTTTCTTTGCCTTCCCACAAGTGAAATAATCTCTATACCTCAAAAAATCTTACTTAGATTTTGATAGGGTTGCATTAAACCTGTTTAGTAATTGGTAAGTATTAATTATACTATTATTACTAGTATTACTATTATATAACTACTACTGCTTTCCTCAGATTAATGGTTGCACGAATTATCTAGCACTCCTAAGCCACAAACAACAAAACTCCTCTTAATGTGCTTTCCTCCATTGTCTGCATTATTGTTTTTATTTCTTATTGTAGTCGATTCCCCCCTTTGTCATAACCAACCCTGGCCTGAGTATATACAATGAGATGATCCAGGAGAATCATCATAGCTCCAAGCCATGGAGCTCTTCCTTGCTTTATTTTTCCCGAAACAGGTCTTTTTTGGGGTATATTCCTTATATCTCCAAAACTGGCTCTAGGTCACATTGTCACAGCCTGCTACATGGGCCAAGTGACTTCTTTCACATTCTGCAGTAAAGTCTAACTTCCTTCCTACTGTACTCTGGTTCAACAGATGTTGTGATTCCCCAGTCTATGTGGTAGACTTTTTTTTCTTTTTTTGTAAAAGTACCTCAGCCTATATTCTCTAAAGCTGTTCCTGACTTGATTTTTAAAAAATATTTATTAATTCTTTGCTATCAGGCCCCTTTACTCTGTGGACACAGCAGAAATGGTTCTGTCCACTATCAAAAATTAGCCCTCATTAATAGCCATTATTAGGAACATACATCTCTTGGAAATTTCAGCCATTTGGGTCTCCATTCTTCATGTTGCACATTTTTTTCACTGTCATGATTTTAGCATCTATATATGTCAAAGCAAAGGTTGTAATTAACCAATTAGATTTTGAACCTCTTTCTACATTATTTGATCCATCTTTAAAAAAATTATATTTTTAATTTTAGTTCCATCTTTAGGGAACCAAGGATAACATCAGGTTTCATTGCCATCTCTAGTCACTAGCAGTACTTATCCACAGTCTTTATTGGCAGAGGATTTTGAGACTATCAAAGCACAAGGGTGTGATGTGATTGATTATTAATGTTGACAAGAATAAGGTTGGGAGGGGTGGTGTTCCTCTCAACTTATGCATTTATATACTTGCTCCCATTGTCTCATGACTCCCTACCTTCTTTACGTTTTGCTTCCTCTATTGAGAGTACCTGAATGAACAGATAGAGACTGAGAAGCAGAAGCTTCCAAGTTCTGTTTACCTCTTTGTCAGTGACAAGGCTGCCATGATTTTTAGGAGGAGGCGAAATACTTTAAATCCTCATCCTGATGAGATTACTTTAAAACACTTTCAGCTTTGGATTTGAGATTTGCTAACTGATGGCTTTTTATTACTTTTGTAGGCAGCACTCAGCATATTTGGCATGATTGGTGGACCACTTTTGGGCTTGTTTGCTTTGGGTATTTTGGTTCCCTTTGCCAACTCAATTGTAAGTATAAAAAATAAATATGTGAAGAACCTACTTTCCCAACTATAGTAGCAGCTCTACAATTTTTTCTCAATTGTAAAGATATGGTTCCTTTGATATCTGGCATTAGTGACTTGTCTTGATGACTTAAATTACTCATATTGACTTTGCTGGGATACACAGTGAATGTACTATGGACTGGGACCCTGCATGTGTGAAGCTAAATGAAAACTGCCAGAACAAAATATAGATTATAAATATTATATAAGTAAATTGCTTATTATAACATAATTATATTCTATAACTAAAATATAGAATATTGTATAACATAACTAAAGGAGATATATGATAAAATAATACATATTATGAATATTATATAACTAAAGGAACATCATTTTCTGTGCATTTATCTTTTTGCCCTTCTTAAAAATTAATCACTAGAACTTAAGAGACTGACAGGCTCAGATATGAAAGATTTTAGGGCAGTAGAGCTGAGAATACCTGTGAATAGCCAGGGTACACCAAAGAGAAGCAATAAGATAGGCTCCTGACCAGAAAACTTATACTTCTGATATTAAAGACGTAGCTCCAGTCACATGAGTCTAGACCCACAGGGGTGATCGTAATTGGAAATTGTATCTAGAAAGAGGAATGTTTCTGTTCTTCTACATTGACATATCTGTGCTCTGAAGCACTGAATTTTGTTTGGAATAAATGAAGTTGAAATCATGTCTCTGAAAGCCAGGAAAAACTCCACTAGTTTAGTCCTGCCACATGCTGAAGTTCAGGAAAAGCTGTAACGTGTGTCTGGTTGTTTCAGATAGATGTAGGGTAACTGCAGAACTACGACTTTACATTTAGAATTCCATGTTCCTCCTGAGGCATCAGGAATTAGTAAGACAGATGCTGATGAGGGCTATTATCATTATTATTATTAATAATCATTCTTAATGAAGTGTCATATGAAAAGCCAGTTTGGTAGAAATTAATCACAATGAAAGAGAGTTGTTTGTGTCCACCTTAGAATGATGAAGCTTTGACTGAGACTCTTTGCATTATGAAATGCATAGTGGTTTGTTGAGTGCCTGAAACATAAAAAAAAAAAAAAGACAGACGTTTAGTTTTTGACATTTATTGCCACCATGAGTTGCTTCCAGAAATGCTGTAGCTGACTGGGTCCAACATGCCCTTTTTCAGGGGAAGTAAGATATTATTATTCCTGTCATAGGAAGTACCTCTTTTTATCATATCCACATTTTTCACCAGCAGAGTATCTGTCTACTGTTACTCTAGAATAAGCTGCTTCTCTCTCTTCCTCCCTTCCTCCCTCTCTTCTTCCTTCCTTCCCTCCCTTTTCTTTGCTTCTGTTTCTCCCTTGCTTCCTTTTTCCTTCCTTCCCTTCCTTTCATTCACTCATTCGTTTATTCATTGAATTATACATGGACCAAGCACTGTCCTGGGAGTGGAGAGCACTGTGTATTTCTGTCCTCATGGCATTTATAATTTTGTGGATCCTTGATAGAGCCATGCACAGTGCTGAGAGTAAGCAAGTCTGGTCTGTCAACAGCTAGCCACACCACTATTCCAACCTTACACTATTCAAAACCATTTATTGCATACCTGCTATAGTTCCAGCACTGTGGCAAGTGCTGGGCGCCAAAAATAAAGCAAGCTTATTCTGCTCCCAAGAGTTCACAGCTTAATGAAAGAGCTCACAGTCCTTGCCCCCAGCATAAATCCTCTGATCTGATCTGCAGCATTCTTGTTCTCCTTTCAACATGCCATTCTTTTTTCTACCCTATGATTTTGCTTATATTTCACCTCTTCAGATACTCTCCCTTGTCCTCTCTATGTAGAGCTGGAGGCACAGGCAGCCCTATCTGATCATTGTTCTTAAAAGTAAGGGGGGAAATTTCACCACAGAGGTAGGGGCTTCCTAGCTCAACATTTGCTTTCATCCCCATCATTTGGAACTATGGAACATTCAAAGACTGAAAACTGGTGAAAAGCAAGAGCAGGTAACGCAGGGTTTCCAAAGATTGGAAAACCAAATGTCTTCAGAGAGGACATCTCCAGTTATCTCTCGAAATACTTGGTTTGGTTGTATGTACCATTGCAGTCATTTGTGAAAACTGCTTGCTATTTCCCCCCTAATTTTCCTGCAGCACAGTTATACTCATGCATGTTTGTAGTATAGGAATAAACCCTGTGGATGCTTTCTTCCTCATAGTCTGTTGCTCATATGGTGTCATTTTTTTCACAGATAAAATAAAAATAGAGGAAACAGTTAACCTGGAGTCAACTGTAGTTATTTGGGTGTACAGAGACAAGGAGGCCAAAACAGAGGGCTGGCCATGGAAACAGAGTGGAAGGAATGG